CGGAAGTTCTGGATAAAGATTGTGATGATTGTGATTGCACAACAATGTGACAATACTTAATGCTGCCAATCTGTGCACTTAAACATAGTTAGGTTGATTACATTTCTGTTATGTGTATTTTGCCACAAATAAGACATAATTTGTCAAAGTACTAAGTAGAAGTTCTTTTTTTCCTTTTTTTTTTAGTATGTATGTATGTATGTATTTATTTATGATCAGATTTGTGGCTACCAGAGGCAGGGGGTGGGGGAAAGGGAAATAAATGAAGGTAGTCAAAAGGTACAGCTTCCTGTTATAAGGTAAATTAAGTAAGATGGCTATAATGTACAACGTGATAAAGATAATACTGCTGTACATTACAAATGAAAGTCATTTAGAGAATAAGTCCTAAGATTTCTTCTCACAAGGAAAAAATTTTTTTCTATTTTTAAACTTTTGTATCTGTATGAGATGTTGAGTGTTCACTGAACCTATTCTGGTTATCATTTCACGATGCATGTACTTCCACTCATTATGTTGTACACTTTAAACTTTTACAGTGCTATATATCAATTACACCTGAATAAAACTGGAAAACTTAAAATTTAAAAAATTCTGGGAGGGAAAAAAAGCACCAGTGTTCTTGAAGAGGAAAATGTGATTTAGAGAGGAATACAGTTAAGTGAGCACAATGTCTTTTATTCGCTCTGTAAAATCACAAAAGAGGATGACGCCAGCATTGACATCACAGTTCATAGCAAAGCACAGGCTGAGTGGATAGCCAGCACTTAACAAGTGTTCGTTGAATAAATTAATGAATCTGCTGCTCAAATATGTATGTGTGAATATATGCATAGGTATTTTTGTTGCTGATGGTTTTTTAAAATTGAGAAAAGAGAGAGCATTCCATAGCCCTTAGCCCTAAAGAGAACCAAAAATAACAATAAGCATACTTGCCTTGCACATCAAAGAGGAATGTAATTAGTCACATCTAAGTTAATGTCCTAGCCACGCCTATATACTCAGAAACCATACCATCATCAAAATAATTTGTCATTATAAAAGACAAAAGGGAATCATGTAAACAAAGAGCATTTTCATTTTCATAAAGGAAATTCCATGACAAATTTTCACATGCCCTTTCTCTAATATCACTGTTTCCCTGTGAAATGACTGTGTGCCTTCAGCACTAACATTCCAAGGGTAGCATGCTTCCCATTTCCAGTGACAAATCAAATAAGGTACACGAGTAAGGCAGGGGAAAGTTTTTAAATCAAAACTGAGAGCTACTGCTGATTGATGACTCCAACCTACTGCACCCTCCGGAAGAAAACCTAATCAAACTTGCTCAACCTTATACCAAAAAAAAAAAAAAAAAAAGAAAAAAACAGGCAGTTACACAAAATGTAAATAAAATGCAATTAAAGGGAACAAGGGCTAAGATCATTTTCAGAAGTTGCTTATTGCTATGTGTTTATGCCCTTGAAAGGAAATATGCTAAATAACCCAGTTTTCTGAATAAGCAAATGATTTAGTGGCCTCAGATCTTGGTTGTCTTTGTTTCTAAGAGCTCATGCAAGGGTTCTTAAAATTTTCTGCACCATAGATGTCTTCGGCAATGTGGTGAATAACTCCTTCCCAGAATAAAATTTACAAAAGCATACAATAAAATAGGTTTACAAAGCAACTGAAATTGAATTACAATTGAAAAGCAATTGAAATACAGCTATCAAAATATTAAAAGAAAAAATATTAAAAGAAAGTGTTGTGATGTGGTAATATGAAACTTCTTTATTTATATATTAAATAACAGCCTTGTTGGTGGAGCCAATAATGACTATAATCCCAATCTGGTAATTAGCAAGAACATTTCAAAAATAACATAATGTGTAAGGAAATGCAAAAATATTAATAATTTCTATTGTGACAGAACCACAGGTACCTATTAATACAATGTAGCATTTCTAGGCTCTGTGATTTGGAGCCTAAATTCATAACTGAAAGGAGTTTTATGTTTCAGTTTGAGTTTAATATAAATAAGGAAGGTTTACAGTGACCTAAATTTACAGAATCCAAATTAAGAACCTCTGGTTGCCCAAAGGGGAAAGGCGCTGCGGGAGGAATAAATTAGGAGTTTGGGATTAGCAGATACAAACTACTACATATAAAATAGGTAAACAACAAGGTCTTACTGTCTAGCCCAGGGAACTATACTCAATATTCTGTAATAAACCATAATGGAAAATAATATGAAAAAGAATACGTGTATATATAACTGAACCACTTTGCTATACACCAGAAACTTAGACAACATTGTAAACCAACTATACTTCAATTAAAGAAAAAGAACCCCTAGTTGTCCCTTTTGTAAACAGTACAAACACAATTGGTGTTTACTAGCTAAGAGTATTAACTAAATTAACATAAGTTTTTACCTCTCAGAACTACTAAGACTTCACTGAGTGATCAGAGAGCACAGATGCAGAACTGTGACTGCCGCTGGCATAGGAAAGATTCAAGTACATACATGGATGTGGACAATCCCTGATAGACTCTGAGAAGCAAGGTCCAAGAAATCCACTTTACCACCAACTTGGCTCCCAGAAGGACCTTGAAGAAGGATCCTGAAAAGCCATGATATGCAAAAGACAATTGTCACCATCTAAGTTCATGTTGCTAAGTGTGTTTCACTCTGTGGTATTTTGATTAAAATTCTACCAGGAAAACACTTGTTTCACCAAAATTCTAAGCTAGGCATTTTCATTAAAATATTAATAATAATACGATTGTTGGAATTTTATAAGAAGAGCATACATAAAACACACGTGAAATACTTAACAAGCAAAACCACAGAAGTACAGATGTCTCTGTGTTTAGTTGGTTGGTTGACTGTTGTTAGTACTGGGTTATCTACATTGTAAATGTTGGGAGAGATAGCCTTTAATCCAGGTACTGTAGCCGTAGCAGGCATCTGACGATATATGAGACAGGAAAGGACCATAAAGAAAGCAAGAAGCAGTAATAGGCTAGGATCTTCATGGAACTACTCAAGCCTGAATTTACTGTTTGCCCACCTAAAACCAAGTATATTAATTTTCTAGAGATGCCATAACAAATTACAACAAAACCGGTGGCTTAAAACAACAGAAATACATCTTTACACTTCCAGAGCCAGAAGAAAAAAACAATCAGTGTCAGCAAGGTAGGTTCCCTCTGGAGGCGTGGACAATCTGTTCCACCCATCTCTCACTGCAGGTGTCTGCCAGCACCCTTCAGCACGCCTTGGTTTTACCACATAACGAATGTATACTTCTGTCTTCACCTGGTCTCCACCTCTCTGTGTCCCTGTGTCTCAAATATCTCTCTCCTTTCTCCTACAAGGACACCAGTTATTGGATTTAAAGCTCACTCTCAATCCAAGACGATCTTTTCTCAAGGTCCTTAACTAACTTCATCCACCAAGACCCTATTTCGAAAAAAGTTCAGATTCATAGGTACCAGGGGTAAGGACTGGGCTATACCTCTAGGGGGGACACAATTCAACCTACTACTCAAGGAATCCTAAAATTCCACATGCTCTAGGTACAGAGGCTTTTGAAAAAAGACGATCAGAGGCAATACAAAACAGAAAGCATTTTTTCCTTACAAAAAGCATTAGTAGATACTTCTATATTTTACAAAAACTGCACATGATAAATTCCTAGCATTGCAGATCTGTGCAGTAAACACAGGGAGGATATGTATCTACAGGACTGAAATAGAATTGGTGCAGACTGTGTAGTTTAGACAGAAAGTTAAGATATTTTAGGGACTTAACTTGGAGAAATTATAGACACAAACCAGGAACTTGTGGCAATCATCTCTGAAACGAGTTGTGCCCAGGCCATCCCCAGAGAGTGTGGGCCAGTGTAGGATGTAAAAACAGAATAAAGAGACGTGTTCCCACAGTCACTGCTGCCTAAGGAGATTCCCAGTTCTTCAGTCACGCTGGAGCTGTGACTGGATTGTTTAAGATATGTTCTTCCTGTTTGTCCTTAAATTACCTCTTGGTGAGTTACAGCAAAAAAAAAAGTTCATCTAGTGGTACATAGCCAACTTTTCTAAACTAATGCTTTTATGTTAACATAAAGTCCTAAAATAGTGGGGAAAAGAATCAATATGGTACAAAGAAAAGTGGTATCTGAACTAGGTAGACCAACTATTACTTGCAGTTAGAGTGTTCAGAGAGGGGAGACTGCCTAACATCCAAATGTGAGTATTCCGGCTCAGATCCAACACCCTTTACACATCCTAAGATCTTGCTACTGTGCCAAGGTTTAGGGATGTGGCCTTTATCCATAAATCTAACTTCATAAATATTTGCCTGTCTTCAAAACAGAAGCATATTGCTATGTGAAAATTGTAAGTCTGTAGGCAAAGGTGTAAATATTTTAACAATTTGTTCATTTTTTTAAACTTTTTTGATTGAAGTATAGTCAGTTTATAATGTGTTAATTTCTGGTGCATAGCATTCAGTGATGTATATATACACACACATACATATATTCCTTTTCATATTCTTTTTCATTATAGGCTGTTACAAGGTATTGAATATAGCTCCCTGTGCTCTACCGTAGACCATGCTGTTTATCTCTTTTAAATACAATAGTTAGTATCTGCAAATCCTGAACTTGTGGTTACCAGGGGGTAAAGGAGGGAGCGAGGGATAAATTGGGAGTTTGGAATTTGTTCATTTTATTTAATGATATTAAACAGTTCTTTGTAGATGTTTAGTCCTTCTTAGATTTGCTAAATAGATTAATCCTGTCTTTCTAGAAAGAACCCTGTTTTATTATTCTTTGGTATCTCCCATAATACTAGGCTTTTCCTGGTGTATAGTGAACCAATAATCAGCGGTAGCTACAAGATTTCCTAATACTTTATACTAGATGGTTGTTCCTTCTTACAGAAATGACCACCTAGAAATGTGATGTTATGAAGGGATTCATATTAGACACCCTGCTCAATATTCTTCCCACTGTGCCCACTTCGGCAGCGCATATACTAAAATTGGAATGATACAGAGAAGATTAGCATGGCCCCTGTGTAAGGATGACACACAAATTCATGACACATTCCATATTTTAAATACATACATATATTCATATATATATATATGAATCACTATGATGTACATCAGAAACTAACACATTATAAATCAACTATACATCAATAAAAAATAAAATAAAATAAAATAAAATAATAAAATAGAAATATTCTTCCCACTGAAGCAACAGTGAAATCTGAGTGTGGGCAGCACCTAACTGTGTCAGTATGCTCTGTGCCTCAGATTCTTCATTGGTAAAATGGGGATAATAGTTGTACCTCTTTCAGAGGGCTGTTACGAGATTTAAATGAGTTAATATTTGGAACATGTCCAGAAGACTGTCTGGCACATAGAAAGTCCTAGCTAAGCATTTTTATTAGTAGTCGTGTTAATATTATTATTATTCATTAGCCTTCCAGAAATAGGTTTCTTATTATTCACTAGCTTTCCAGAAATAGGTTTGTTTGAAGGAGTAAATACAATAATGCATCTTTTACTAAGAATTGCTGGGGAACAATGTCTTCCAAATTATTGAAATCACTACCTTTGAGTAATCAATCAGTCAACCCATCAGTCAGTATTTATTGAGCAGTGTCAGACACTGTTCTTCAGCAACACAGTAATGATGATGGGACAGTCCCTGCCCTCAATAAGCTTATACTCCAGTGGGAAAAGAAATAGATAAACACATCAATTAAAAAATAAGGTAATATTTACCATGAAGAAAATAAAATCATGCAATGTGACATTACAGCACCTGTCTGAAAGACAGTGGAGAGGTCATTAAAGTCCAAGAAGAGAAACTAAGTTGAGACCAGAATAGTGAGGCCATCATTTATGGATCTAAGAAAAGACCATTCCAAACAGAAGCAACAGCAACTACAATGAGCAGGCATCCTGAGAGAGGAAGAAATGCTCAGGGTTGGTGTGTTAAGTCATGTGTCAGATAGGATCCAGTAGAAAGAGATACACTGTTAACTGGGGAAAAGAAAAGGATAATTAGAGGAGTAAAGTCTTTATACAGGCAGCATAGGGTAGGATCCAGAATATGTCTGGAGGGAACAGCCTTAGACAGGGGCAAAGAGACTTAGCAGAGTCAATAAGTATGAATGTTATGGACTCTGAGAATCACTGGTTTAAAAAAAATAGATGGTGGTGCTATCACAACACATGAGTGGGTGGGGAAGGGAAGTAGAGGTTAGAGGAGTCATTTCAGAGAGTTAGAAATTGAATATGCTTGGCAGGTACAGTACGGCAGCACTTACAATAGCATGCCTTTGGCAAGTGCGGTCATGGGTTTGAAATGACTCTAGCCAGCACAATTGTTGGGTTTTCTCTAGTAACATTTAGCTGCTTGAGTGGACCATAGTGAGCAGTTGGTTGGGTGAAACCAAGGTTGAGATTTGCCAGGCGAATCTCCAAGGAAGGAAGGAGAACAAAGAGATGGCCAAGGCAATCAAGAGACATTTGCCAGAAGATGATCATAGTAGTTCATGACATCCCAGCTGGGGAAGAAGGTTAAGTGAAAAGATGAGGTAGCTCAGTGGTAGAGTGTGTGCTTAGCATGCACGAGGTCCTGGGTTCAATCCCGAGTACCTTCAATAAAAAATAAAATATATAAATAAACAAATCTAATTACTCCCCCCCCCAAAAAAAGAAAAGAAAATATAAGGGAAGCAAGAGCAAGTGATGAATGTAAAAAATAAATGACAAGGGCAGACGACTGGCGATACTGATGAACTTACACACTTGCAAGAGTGGAATCAACAAGGTAAACGACCTGGATGGACAGGAGGGAATGATCAGAAAATGACTAGTTTGAAATGAAAGTATGGCATTGTTGGTAATGAAAAGGTGGGCATGGTGACTATAGGAGTGGTATCTAAAGTGGGAGGAAGGACCAATATCAAAAACTGATCTTAAATTTTTCATTACCGTTATTTTAGATAGGAATAGGATTAAATAGTTTTTATATCATTCCTTGTATTATTGTTGTACACCAAACATATTTTTTCTGGTTATAATAGGGTTATCAACATAAACATTAGTTATATTATGACATATGTGGTAATTTCCTCAGTATTTCCTGATTGTTTTGCCCATGCAATAAATTATTCCTGACACTTGTATTTGCAGTCCTTGAGTCTACTTTCTAGAGGTTTTTTGTTGTTGTTGTTTTTTAAGAATTTTCCTGTCTCTTCCTTTGTTCCTTTCAGGCATAGTAGCCTGAAAACTGGACTTCTTAGAATAAACTAAAACATCCTTGAGTGAAGGTCTTAAAGGCATACCTTACCAGTTGTACTTAAGTCCAGGAAATTGACTGAGTCAGTTTGGTTTTCTCAGGTTTCCTTCACTTGATTTCCCTTTCTCCAGTCCAATAAGGCTTTATTGTTTAAAGAGGAGGAGTGGGTACCATTATCAACAGATGTCAATCCCCACAATAATAATAATAATAATAATAATAATAATAATAATAATAATAATAATAATAATAATAATAATAATGTTTTATTTCCAGCAAGTAGATTTCGATGAGATTTGACAAATTCTTCTACTTAAATTTCTAGTGTTCAGTTAAAATCTTTCTCTTGGGAAAGAGCTATTAAGTTATGAAAGGCCCTGGATTTAAGTTCAATGTTAAAATAATTCTGATCCAGGGTTTATGTCATTCATGTATGACATAAAAAATTATAACCTACCTCCCTACTGCCTCTAAAGATTCTTTCTCTAGTGGCCTTTTTCATGTATAACATCTATCATGTAACCACTGGTTTACAAAATGCATGATAACACAATTTAAGAATATTCCCAAACAGCCACTAGCCCAACCAAATTAGATACCTAAAGGGGAACAGGGGAGTATGCCATTTATTTTGGTTTTCTCCACTTCATTAATTTAATGACAAAAAAAAATTTTCACTATGACAATTGAGAGCACATGTCCACCTCTTTTTTCCCTGCAATTATTAAATAAAGACACAGATGACATTTCTGAAGAATCAAGACTCTGGGGCTGCTGTACGTTTTCATAAGGTGAAGAGGGAAGTCTCCACTTCCTGTCATATAACGAATACTGGCCATCCATCCCCAGCCTGTTTATGACTGCTAACTCCCGGGACTCAGTAAGCAATATCACTGTAGAGACACTTTCAGAAAAAGGCCTAAGAACTCTATTATATTTTCACAAAATGCTTTTGCAGGCATAAGAGATACAGAGTCGGGAAAGAAGTAATTAAATGAAAAGATTATTGATGAAAACGGAGTCAAAAAAAAAAAAAAAAAGCAGAACCCTGGGAACAGCAAGAGATAAAGTAGCCAGAGGCATTTGGCCTTTTCCAAACAATTTCACCACAAAAATATTTGACCATCAGCAGAGGCAGATCCTGGAATATTCCACTTTAGCTGGTAAAGCACAGGTTTAATCTCACCAATACGTTTTTGACGTGAATGATTTCAAAGATCTTACATTTCTACTTACATCTGTTACAGGTTTCTGTCAGTCTGTCTATCTGTCTGCCCTTCAAGTGGTTCATTCATTCATTCATCAATATTTGTTGAAATAGTTCAAACAATATTTGAAAAAAAACAGTTGTTTTGTTTTTTAAAGAAAATTTATGACTGCCAACAATAATCCTTTGAAGTTTTCTTACTAGAATGAAATATGAGTTTTAGGAGAGCTGTTGATTTAGATGAGGGCAGTAGGGTAGAAGAAGCAATAGTCACAGTGTTTTCAAAAACTCTAACAATTCAGTGAAGATCATACCTCAACTGATGGTGCCCTGAGTTTAGTCAGTTTTCAAATAATTTTTTTTCATTGCAAAGGAATAGGTTTATACACAAGAAAGAGAATCTAGGCCAATCCATCATGCCTTTATTGAGACCCTGTTTTGTGCCAGTCACCTTCTAGGTGTTATGTATACAATAGAGCACAAATTACACAAGAACTCTTTGTCCTCATGGCTCTTGCATTCCAGGGGAAAGACAACAATAAGCATAGTGAATAATTCAATTAGAGTGTGCTATAAAATAATGAGTGGTATGGAAACAAAACAGAGAAAAGGAGAGCAAGGAAAGGGAGCAGGTGTGTATGTCTGTAATTTTGTACATTGTTTAAAATTTGGGATTAGTATTGTGTTTTTTTCTTTGTTTTTCTTTTTATTATTATCTTTCTGATTCACATATACTTAAAAGTCCCTTTCTTGGTGTAAAGGTCTCTGTGCAGAGTCATGTGACCACCAGTATAGTCAGGATACAGAACAAATGTCCCATCCTCTCAAATAGTTCCTGTCTGTTGTCCCTTCGTAGTGAAATCTTTTCCGCCCCAACCTCTGGCAACCACTAATCTATTCCTATAGTTTTGTCTTTCACAGAATACCATATAAATGCAAGTAAACAGTGTGTGGTCTTTTGAGGCAAGCATTTTTTCACGTATGTAATTTTAAATGGGACAGCCTTGACTGCTCTGTTATGAACAATATCCGAGTTACAGTAAGTGAAAAAAGCAAGATGTAGAAGAACCTGACTAGGAGGCTGTCATGTGTATTTTTTAGTACGTAGGGTTTCATATGCATAGCCTGCCTGTGAAAGGAGCCCAATAAGTCATCAACATAGTTGCCTCCAGGCAGGAAAACTCATTGTCTGGGGAAAAATACTTCTTCATGTACCCCTTTCATATCTTGAATTTTGCACCTGTGCAACATTTTTTCAAATATCTCAATTAATCCTTTAAGATGAAGTTTTATATAACCTAAAACAATTTATAA